ACTTATCGGTGGAACCCACTTTTCTCTCTAACGATTAAAAAAATTATTCTCATAATCACTACCAAACAGACTCAATTTTAATAACATTGGTCTCTTGATAAAATTCAATCTTGTTGTACAAATAGTATTCTTTGCATAAGACCTTGATAATTCGAATCAATTCAAGAGTAATCGGTTCCCTGAACTCTCATTAATAATGAATATCTTGAATAAAGTTGCCCCCAGGGCACATCTCCAAGTGGTAAAAAGGGAGGGTGGAGAAATCCAACTTTGCTTGAGGCTGCTGCGTCAAGGGTTCGAATCCTGAAATATGGATTTGGCTTTTGGGTAAGTGTAAGTATACAAGCAGCCTTCCACCCTATACCCTTGAAGGCATAATCTGCGATTTACCTCCCTCATGATACTCCAGGACAGGGGTAGTGGGGGACCTTAAGGTTAGGGTTTAACCTTTTTTTTTTTATCTTGAATAAAGTCAACGATAAGAAAGTGTATTTCTTAATAACTGTGCGTATGCCCTCATCCATATCTATAAAATCTATAGTAGCAAACGGGAGGCAACTTCCTTTTTCTAAAGAATTCGATAAGAGAAGAAAAGTCAACCTCTACACAATGAAAAATCACTCCTACTTTTCCATCCCTATATGAAATATTATTTAATAACAATTATTCACTAAGGTAGATAAATGAATCCCCGATAAAAGTTAATAATATCAAGTTCCATCTTCGTACGCCGTCAAATCAATTTCTTTACACGAAGCTATCAAACATAAATGAGAAAAATGAAATATGAAATTGAACTATAAAGTTGAAACTTGAAAGTAATAGATAAGGGTTGTGACAAAGTCACCAAACCAAGAAAAAAATCATTAAAAATAAACTAATATTTTGAGGCTTCAAATAGAAATACAAGCGAGTCGACAACCGCTTGAGAGAATGTAATGGTGAACGCTGGCTAACTCGGGGGTCTGGATCACATGACCTCCAACTTTTGAGATTTTTTTCTTCTTCTTTTTTCTCTTTTTATAAAGTTCTGTTTAATATCGATTAAAATCTAAATCAAAGTTAACATATAATTTTAATAATATATTTCATGAAATCTTTAACTTTTAAACATTTATCAAAATCTACTAAAAATCTAATTTTAATTTTTTCTCTCTCTTTTATCTTGCTCTATCTTACTCTCTCTTCATGCTTTTGCCAAAAAACTTAACCTTTTAATTTTTTAAAATTTGTGTATAATATTGATTTCTCTACAAGTTATCATATCTACTACAAATTTTTACTTTCCAATGAAATTTTCAACTAATTAGAACTTAAATTTGTATTTTTTCCCATCCTATTTGTGTATATAGAATGTAACTAAATTGATTATATTCAATTTAACTTATATTTAACGAATTGTGTTTATTTGATTTATTATTAGTATCCAATATTGGTTATATGTTTTTTCTTTTCAATTACTTGAATTGATTGTTTATATAAAATGCACTATAAATTTTTTAAACGTAAATATACATTTTCTTGTAATAAGCAAAATATTAATAAAATGACTGTTTGAAATCAAATAAATGACAATGATGAGCAAAATATTAATGAAAAAATATTTTTTAAATGTAAATCTGTATTTTCTTGTATCAAATAAGAATCATTCAAAAATTAAGAACAAAAAATTCAATTTGTACAGAATTTGATTGTGTTCTCCAACTCGAACTATCCGAATGACCTTTTTATTCATTTCAATTTGTAATTTTCGGAGTTGTAATTTAAGCAGCAGATGTTCGAACGCGTTCTTGTCGAAGTTTATGTAATTTCATTCAATTCAATCCTAGAAGCTCAAAACAGTAGACACAATCATTATGACTAAATATAAAAAGTAACGTGCATCACACATTATGAAGGACTAATCAAATTCTCAAATCGAAGAAGCAAACGAAGCAACCTTATTACCTTCTCAGAGAACGACACGACAAAACTCCAACCAACGCTTTGTGACTGACAACTGAACAAATACTCAATGAAAACAGCCAACGGAGACTGGAAGGACAATTTAATAATTAATACCTTCCAAAAGAAATACGAAGCTTGCTACGGGATAATTAACAGAATTTAAAAAACAGGTAGATGTGTCAACCATTTATTTGAAAAAAAAAA